AAAGTACTTAGTAGTACTATATGGTACAATTTGGTATTGGGAGAACAGTTCATATGTAGCCTGAACATAAGCACTATAATGTACCATAATTGTACGAAAAGTACTAAGTAAAATTTGGTATTGGGTAAAGGAATAAAGTTGAAGTCCTGAAATTTGATATAGATGTCACTGTCGGTGTCCGTGGTTATGATATGGAGATGGTTTGGAAATGAGTTCTAAAATTATACGAAAAGAACTATGTGGTACTAAATTTGATATTAAGTGAAGGGATACAGCTGGAATCTCTACATTTGATATTCATGTCTCCGTTCGTATCTAGGCTTGAGATATGGAGGTTGTTTTGGAAATGTATACTATATTTGTACAAAAAGTACAAAATAGTACTAAAATTGGTATTGCAGTGAAAGAATAGAGATAAAATTCTGATATTTGATGAAAATACTGTTGGTATCTGAGGTTGACATTGGGAGGTGGGTTTTGAAATGCGTACTAAGTTGTTCGAAAAAAAGAAACAAAATGTAGCTAAGTTTGGTATTTGGTGGAGGAATAGAGCTGAAACCGCGAAATTTCATAATCCGATAACTCTTGTTGTCTAGGATTGAGGCATGGAACGGAATGTTTTTAAATTTTATATTGAGTAAATGTATGGAGCTGAAATCCCAATATTTGATTTTGAGGTCTCAGTTGGTATCGAATGTAGAGATCTGATGATGGTTTTGCAAATACGTACTATAATTGTTCGAAAATAACTAAATCGTACTAATTTCTTCACAATTTGGTATTGGGTGAGAAGATAGTGCTTGAAATCTGAAATTTGGGATAAGCGTCGCTGTTATGTGAAGTCATAGTATATGAAGGCGGTTTCGGGAATATATACTTTAATTGTATAAAAAGTACTGAAGCTTGCAGGAAACTGCAATCTTTTGAAGTTGAGTGGCATTTTTATTGCAATTAGTGAATTCGAGCTAGCAACATACTTCCCCGTAATAATTGTATCCTCAGTTAAATTGTTGTGTACTTTTTTTCTGTTAGCCTAATACAGTTGCAAAGGCGTTGTTGGTCAATGCTTCTTAATACGATCATATCCCAAGTTGAACCGATTTAAATATAGTTTCACAAAATTTACTTTTATACCAAATTTGCGTAACACCATCCATATTTCATTGAAATTCCACCACACATTCGGAATTTCTATGGAGTAGGACATACATGTCGTATTTGGTGCTAACATACATGAAATCGTCAAATATGTAAAATCGGTCGATCTGAACCGATTTAAATATACAGGGTTGCCCACATTCGACGGACCCATCTGGCAACGCCATAACTTTTGACAGAGATGTCACATCGCTTAATGACATACCGCGTTTGAAGCGTCAGTCCAAGCAGATTTTTACCATGAACCAATACACGCCACGCGAGCGCTCTGAAATAGTTGAAATTTACATTCAACAGAAGAAGTCAGTTGTGAAAACTCAACGTGCTTTTAAAACATTAAAAAATTTGAGAAGTGTGCCTTTTAAGAACACCATTAAGCGTTTATACGAAAAATTTTCGACTGGTAAGGCTCTTTTTAATCCGAAGAGGCCATATAAAAGTCGACCAAGGCGATCGGCCGAGAATATCGCTGCCGTACGAGCCAGTGTTGAGAGGTCCCCAAGAACATCCCAAAAACGCCGTTCTCAGCAGTTGGGCATAGCTCGGTCCACTTTACAACGGATTGTTCGCATTGATGTGCATTTGTTCCCTGCGTACAAGCCTCGTCGATTGGAATGGGCCCATAGAGTCATCGAAATGGCCGAAAAAAAAACAAGGGTCCGTCGAATATGGGCAACCCTGTAATTTGATAAATACATGTTTGTACCAAATTCCCTCATTTGTGCCAAATACTCATTCTAAATTTCATTGAATGAAAGTTCATATTGGAACTATATCTAAATCTGAACCGATTTCAATATAATTTGACAGATAAATCGTTAGACCAAATTCAATCACACGTTCTGAATTTCATTGACATTGGACATTTACAGCGTGTTTGATACATCAAATACATGGCATCAGCCGAATATATATATATATATATATATATATATATATATATATATATATATATATATATATATATATATATATATATATATATATATATATATATATATATATATTATATATATATATATATTATATATATATATATATATATATATATATATATATATATATAAATTCTAATGCAATATCTCCACTTCCAAGTTGAATTTCTAAAATTTATATAGCCTATGTTACTTTCAGGCGATGTTTTCGTATAATTGGAAATTTTTAGTACATTTTAGTACATGGTACAATTAATATAAGGTAGAAGCCAAATCATAGTATGGAAGGTATAATGAGATGATCATTCCATTTGTAATACCCCGAAATAACAATATTAGACCCTGCAAAGATCATAAATATTTTCAGCTTAAAATTCTATGCAGATTCAGTCATGTCAGTCCATATGTCTGTCTGTCCGTCTGTAGAAATCACTTTAGTACCCGAATAAAATGAAATAGTTTGATAAAATTTTACTCAAATGAGCAGGACAGCAGAATTTTTGGTATTGAAAATGGTATATATAGGTCCCCATTTTGGTATGGACCCATATAACTGTACCGACAGATTTAAGTTTTTTATTTTTTGTTTTTGGATTGAGAATATGTGTTTCCGTGATAGGAAACATCCTTGCAGGGAACTGTACATATGTAAGTCCAAGTTTAGGAATGAACCCCATAAAACTGTGGGAAAACAATGAATAATTTTAGTATCTTTTTACACCCTCCACCATACATAGTGCAAAATTTTAGCTTCCTATCTTTATAGGTCTTTTCAGTCTTTTGTCTGTAGGCAGGTCCAGTTCGATATCGTCCACGATATCGTATATCCCCATACAACGGTACCTCCCTTTATTCGGTATTTTGATTATTTTTTTACATTTTTCAATGGAATTGTCTAAAAGCCATACTAGAAGTTCTTTGTAAGCACTTTACCCACTTGGAGAGAAATGTCTATATAGGTCCACGATATCGTTAGTCCACATACAACGGTACCTCCCAATATTCGGTATTTTGATGATTTTAGCGACATTATTCACCGGAGTTGTTTCAGACAGACTTAACATTGTCTATGCAGGTCCAGATCTTCGTATGGCCCCGATATAACGGCACCTCCATATATTTTTGATGGTATTTGCTACATTATTATACCCTAGAACACTATGTGTTGGGGGTATTATAAGTTTGATTGGGCCAGAATTTATGTAACACCTCGAAATATTGGTTTCCCATATAGGAAAGTATATATGGATCTTCCTAGCTCGCCGAGCTGAGTCGATCTAGCTATGTATGTCCGTCCGTCCGTCTGTCCGTCTGTCCATGTTAATTTGTAATCACTCTACAGGTCGCAATTATGGGCCGATCTTCACGAAATTTAAAATGTAGGTGGGGTTAATGTCAGAATAGAACCCTATTTCTTTTGGAGATGATCGCCAAATGTTTAGGGGTTGAAATGGACCAAATACTGAAAAAATGTCGGATTTTGCAGTAGCTATACAGGTCGCAATTATAGACCAATCGGCGCGGAATTTCGCATGTAGCTAGAGTTTAGGGCGGGGAAGAAGCCTACCAGTTTGGGAGGTCATCGGATTATATTTAGCGGGTAAAATAGACCATATCTTTTGTATTGAAAAACTTCGAAATTTTTCATTAAACCGCGAATATTTTAAATCCCGGCGAAATCACAAAGCCATGACAGGTTTACTTCTGATGTTTACATTGATGTCAACATTCAATAAATCGGATATATAGCAAAATATCTGCGATATATATGTCTATCAAAGAAGATATGCTTGAAAGATCTCTTATATGTCGAGAACGGCTGAACTGATTTCGACAGTTCTCATTAATTCAAAATGGCCTCTTAGCAAGAAACAAAATACGTCTAAAAAATCGCATAAAAATATCTCTCTAAAGATGAAAATATTGATTTTAAAATATTTTCTCATATTTTTTCAATATTGTCATATTTTTGGCATATTTTCATTTTGAATTAAACATTTGGTAATATTTCTACAGCTAAGAAAACTAAGTAGTTAGGATATCAGGATATCATATGCAGATCGCATTTATGGCCCGATCCTTACGAAATTTTGCATGGGGATAAGATGAGGGTCAGAATAGAAGCCTACTCTTTTTGGAGATGATCGTCATATATTTAGGGGTTGAAATGGACCAAAAAACTGCAAAATTGTCGGCAGGTCGTAATTATCGTCCGATCCTCAGGCACATTTGAATGGGGGTTACCGGACATTGCAAAAGCCAAGCAGTTTTGGATGGCCATCCAAAAATATTCAATGTGCGAAATAGTTTGCCAACTTTTGTAGACAAAATACTTGGAGAATTCACAAATACAGGAAAGACGCACTTCTGACTATTTCGTTAACGCTGATTTAGTTGAAGAATATAGTCAAATGGCTGTATTTCATATAGATGCGTTTCAGTCTAAAAACAAAAAATAAATGTTAATCTTTTGCCACTTCTGAGAGATTAATGGTCTTTGTGAAATATTGGTTCCGGATCTAGGAAGACCATTTACGTGCAACATCTACCAATAAATTGGAAATGAGCAAATTAGTTTAAGTTGCTATTATTCGAAAATTAGAGAACTAAACCTGATGGTTTTCTTTTATTATTTGTCACAATATCTTGTGAAATTCTTTCGAGTATCTCGCCTATATAAACTGTATCGTTTATTATAGTGTTGTAGGGTATTCAACGGTCGGCCCCGCTCGACTGTAGCCTTTGCTTACTTGTTAATCTTTTTTTTTAATTTTGTAATGTAATGGCTTATGAAAAAAGTTTACTATGCATGTACATTGTGGTAAATATACCTTGGCTTCAATGGGAAGTAGAAAACGAAGTTTGAAATTTCCAAAAAGTTTCAATAGCGTTTATAGTCAAAAACATCAATTTTTGTATTTCATTTTCATTCAATAAACTCGATATTATAAATTATGGCCAAATGTCGAAAAGATGGGGATTGGTACTATACCGAGACTAAGCCTCTATCGTTTAAAACCACAGCCCACGAAATGTTAGAATCTGAAGGCCGAAATATGACTAAACCAAGAATTGTCGGACGAAAACAATTGAATTTCCAGTCATATCCAATGAATGAGTAGGTATGGGTAAAATATGGACTCAAATTCTCATGTTCTCCCTTGCTTTAATAGCTTTCGTTTCAACTTGATGCGATTCCATGAACCGGAAACATTACCTTTAACCACATCATATTGCCGTGATTATCCGGCGCCCTATCAATCGTATCCTTGTAAACCAAAAACTGATGAGGAGATTATGCCGGATTCATTGTTTAATCGCAAACCCCCAAGCGAGTTTGGTATGAGACAAACCTCTAAATTTAAATTTATGGGTGATCAATTTGTAAATCTGTCCGAGTCGCGCAAGAAAATAAATTTCATGCGGCAAATGAGGTAATTTCTTGAAGATTATTGCCAGTGGAAATATATCCTTTGTGTTTATGTTTGTTTTTCTAGGAATGCTCATTTTAAGCTGGTATAAATGATCATATCAACAAAATAAATATTTTCAATTCTCTGTATGATGAAGTATTTCTAGCGGGTTTTCTATAGTTTATATCCATGCCTGAAAATCGGTAAGTTTTTATGAGTATTTATGCTGTTAAAAGTTAATGGGAGATGGGAGACGTTTAAAATTTCGATTTGATTTAAGAAGATCGTACGAAGTTTTCATAAAATAGAAATAGAAAATCGAGAGCGAAAGAGGTTAACCTTTAGAAGAGGTAACAAAGGAGTAAGATTCGCCCATGAGTAAATGAAATAATTTTTAACCCTCTTTTATGTTACAGAGGGTACATTGACTTTGCTTTTCCGCTCATAACTCCTCGAAATAATCACAAACTGAGATAAAGGGTTACAATTTTGCACAGGTTTTGGTATAGACTTAATATGAAGGCATCTCCAGGTTTGAGAACTGCTAAATTTTAGGCATAGTTTTCAACGAAGGGGTTTCAAATTTAGGTTTTCATGTTCGCACAAGATTCCAAATGCTGTAGCATATAATTGCCTAGATAGTTCTCCGTTTTCTGATAATCCCCATATAGCTATACCTCCCGATATTCGGTATTTTGATAATTATAGCCAAATTCGGGATTGGTTTTAAATTCGGAATTTAGAGGTAACCAAAGATTCTATCTTCCCTGGTAGAAACATTGTGTATAAAGGTCCATATTTTTCTATATTCCCACATAATGGTATTTTCCGATATTCGTTAGTTTGACGATATTAGCGACATTTTTCACATGAAAAGATTTACAAAGGAAAGAAACATGAACAAAATCTTCCCACTCCTTCACCTCGGATAGGGCTAAAAATTATTCAGTTAAAGCTAACAAAATTATAGAAACTACAAATGACCATCTTGAACCACACTTTCGGTTAGCATTTTGAATCATCATTCGGCAAATCAGATCAATAGTTCCTTTTTATGATCTTCATAGACTTACATTCTGAGTCAATTTATGCAACTTGTTCCTTTGTAAACAAGGTATAGGTATATATATTGAGATGAAAATGTCCACAAATCATTTTTAAGCCCAAGGTCGAACTCTATTGAAAGAGGTGATAATCGGTTGAGATTTAAATATAGCTCCCCTATACACTGTGCCGTCCGATTTCATAAGTATTGTGCATCCAATGCGTAATATCAGTCCGAATCAAATGAGCTTTAGCACCAAGTTGACAAAGTTCAGTCCAGTTTGGTAATGATAGTAAATATCGGTTCAGATTAAGATATTGTTCCCATGTATATTCTCGTCCTAATTTCAATTTTATTGTGCGCTATATGTGTAATACTCGTCCAAATTGAATGGATTTCGACACATCTGATTGAATTCAGGCCAGAAGCAAGTACTTCAAATTTTGGTGAAAATCGCTTCAGATACCGATATTATACTAGTAAATATGTTTCATCTAATTTGGGGTTTAGGTCCTCACATTTGTAATATTTTTTCGAAAATAATGATATATGAAACCAAATATATCCCAGAAATACCTCTGACAACTTTCATCAGGATCGGTTCAGATAGTAAACATACAGGGTTGCCCATATTCGACGGACCCATCTGGCAACGCCATAACTTTTGACAGAGATGTCACATCGCTTAATGACATACCGCGTTTGAAGCGTCAGTCCAAGCAGATTTTTACTATGAACCAATACACGCCACGCGAAATAGTTGAAATTTACATTCAACAGAAGAAGTCAATTGTGAAAACTCAACGTGCTTTTAAAACATTAAAAAATGTGAGAAGTGCGCCTTCTAAGAACACCATTAAGCTGGTAAGGCTCTTTCTAATCCGAAGAGGCCATATAAAAGTCGACCAAGGCGATCGGCCGAGAATATCGCTGCCGTACGAGCCAGTGTTGAGAGGTCCCCAAGAACATCCCAAAAAACGCCGTTCTCAGCAGTTGGGCATGGCTCGGTCCACTTTACAACGGATTATTCGCATTGATTTGCATTTGTTCCCGTACAAAATTCAATTGATGCAAAGAATGTTGCCTGCGGACAAGCCTCGTCGATTGGAATGGGCCCAAAGGTTCGTCGAATATGCGCAACCCTGTATATATCTTTGTCCTCAAATTGAGTGGATTTTAAAAAATACGACCGAATACAGATTAGAATCAATTACTTGAAATTAAAGGTGATTTTTACAGTGGTGTTCAAAATTTTCTATGGAAAAACAAAATATTCAATAAATGGGTCTTAGCTTCGTTATGTGTTAATCATAAATAGCGAAGTGCTGCCAAAGTGCAGTAAGTCTATAAAATCAGAGGAGGATAGTCTCAGAATAAGGGTTGGGTTATGTATCATTTCAGTATTTGATAAAAACAGATTAAATAAATTTTGTTAGTGCCATCTGCTGGGTGAAGTAGACTGGTTGTAGGTTTGTGTCTTTACTATATGTTGTACTAGTGTTGCCATAAAATAATTTACATTTTACATTTCATTGATTGCTTGTACTGTACATTGTGAAAATTGTTAAACCTTACCAATGGATGGGGCTGCGTTCTGCTTGTTCCTTTGGAAATGTGATAATCTTTACCGCATTCCTTATGAAATGTTGTACCGGAATTGTATCGAAAATATGAAAACCTTGTGATATTTACAATAATAGATATCAGTATATTGACTATTTTCAACGATATGTATAAAATATTTACTGTTTATCCAAATAGTGGTGATAACAAGTAAAATAGTGTCGGTCGGTTTTGCCGACAGATGTATACCCTCAGCCAATGTTCGATTATTTAAAAATATTTTAAATTCTGTTATGTTAATTCAATCTCTTGACAATATTTAGCTATAGCAAGTTGTTAAAAATCGCTGAGTTGTTTCGCAATTTATGACAGCTAAAAATTTTGAAAATTATGGCCCCTAGGGTGTGAGGTACCGCTAGGGGTTCGCAATATTATAGCATCTTCATAACAGATCTTATGTTAGCAAAAATGTTTGTATGTGTGAAATTTAAGGAGAGTTGGATGCTTATTTCGCTTTCTTTGAGCGTTTTTTTTTTTCAAAATCATGAACCCTTTGCGGGGCAAGTACTAAAAGAAATGGACAGATTTCTAGCAACTTTATAAAAGATCTTGTGTTGGTGGAAATATTGAGATGTACCAAGTCTGTAATAGAATCAGATGTTGATTTCGATTTTTATGAGCTTCATGGATATTTGAGCCTTTGTGGGGGAGGCACCAGAAGGAGGAAGGAACGATATATGCCATCTTCACAACAGATCTTGTGTTTGTGTTTGTATCTGTGAAATATTAAGGGAATCTGACGCTTATTTCGGATTTTATAAACGTTTGGTTTATTCACCCTTTTTGGGGGAGGTACCAGAAAGACTGGTGCGATCTCTTTCGTTTTTATAATAGATCCTGCGTTGGTTGAAATATTCAGATGTGCCAAGTCTTTAATGGATATTCAAAATTTCGACTTTTTGTGGGGGAGGTACCAGTACCATTCCGTCTTAATACCAGATGTTGGGGTCATAAAAATATTAGGATATGTGAAATTTGAAGACAATCGGACTCTTGCATAATATTTTATAAGATTTATAATTATTCGAAATTTTGACCCTTTGTGGGAGAGGCACTTGATGGAGTGGACCGATATTATCCATTTTTTGCACCTGACATAGAACTGACGTAAATATTAGGATTTGCAAGGTAAGAGCAAAATTTGAGTATTGCTTCACTTTCTGTGCAGAAAATATATATGTATATATTTTTTGAAAAATTTGGCATTTTGTAGGGGAGGTACCAAAAGGAGTGGACCAATATACTCCATCTTCACACTAGACCTTAGGCTAATAAAATTATTGGGATGTGTGAAATTTGAAGACAATCGGACTCTTACATCACCTTTTATGAGAGTTGTAATTATTCAAAATTTTGACCATTTATGGGGGGAGGTACTTGATGGAGTGGAGCAATATTGTCCATTTTCACACCTGACCTAGCACTGACGCAAATATTAGGATATACAAAGTTGGAGCAAAATCGGATTATCCTTTCTCTTTCTGTGCAAAAAAAATATATATTTTGAAAATTTCGACCTTTTGTGGGGGAGGTACCAGAAGGAGTGGAAAAATATTGCCCATCTCCGAACTCGATCTAAATTTGACAAAAATATTACAATTTACCCAGTTTGGACCAAATCGGATACTCCCTTCGAGAGTCATTGTGTGCCCCAGCCAGCCAGACAGACAGGTGGGCGGACGGACATCGCTAGATCAACTCCAAATGTTCTGAAACGGATTTGATGCAAAGAGACCTAGGGTCTAAAACCGTTATTTCGACAAGGCACTTTTTGACCTATCAAATTGTATATACCCTCTGTAGCCATATGGCTGAGGGTATAAAAAGTAGTTACCAACTCAGATTTGAAGGTAATTTCGGCTATTTATGCATGCACAATATTGTAGTAATATTGTTTTGTCCTTGTTTTGGAGGTTTTAGCTATATCTGAACTGATTTTCACCAAAATTCGAAGCACTTGCTTTTAGGCTGAATTCCGTCAGAAGTGCCATTTGGTCCACACAAAAACCGGAAATTGGATAAAGACATATATGGGAGCTATATCGAAATCTGAGCCGATCTTCACAAAATGTTAAATTTGACAGAGGTATTATTGTTTGGAAAACTTCATCTTAATCGAATAATAAATGCGACAGGTATTTTGTTCACAAAAATACGTGGCTGGACAGACGGACTGGCATGCAGATCCCCAAAAGTAACTCATTTTTGTACCTCCTCCTCCCCCGAAGTTTTGAAAACTAAAATTAAAATCCGATTCCATTCAGACTTAGTACATCTCAATATTCCCATCAACACAATATCTGTTATAAAGATGGCAGAGGAAGGACCATTTCTTGTGGTACCTCTCCCAAGATTTTATAAAACAAAACGCTCCACCAGAAACCTGAAATGAATCTGGAATTCAAGATTTCGTATAAAATTGGATATAAATGTTCAATTTTCTTATAATTTTTCCCATACCAAAATGGAATGGCTTCCGGCTTTACTCAAG